GAAATGGAAGGGGTTGAATGGATCAAAGTACAGTACATGTGCATTGGGCATACATTGCAATACCTCTTTGAGCATCAACTTAAACATTAATAAGAAAAAACAGGTACAGTGTATATGTGTTGGGGGATACTAGTGGGAGGGGGATGGTGAATGAAGGAGATTAAGGTGCTGGTATATGGTAGATGGACCTCATATACCTATATGAGACAGAACTAAGAAACCTTTTGCAATTACTTTAAGTGCAGCAGGGAGAAGGTTGAGGGGAAGAGATGATGGGGGCAGTGTAGATAATGTACAATATAAGTCTAATCAAAATTTTCACTATGAATCCCCCTCTGTGTAATGATCATATCCTAATAAAAATTTATAAAAAATAAATCTATGATCCATTTTGAGTTAATTTTTCTGTAAGTCATGATATAAGATGGTTTTTGGATTGTCAACATGTCCACATTTTCTGGAACTACTTGTTGAGATCACCATTTTTCCATTGAATTGATTGCCTAAGAATATTTATCAAAACTAAATGTTTCAGATAGATGAGGAGTAGATAGATGTATTCCTGGACTCACTATCAGTTCCACTGATCAATCTATGTGTATTTCCTGCAGAAATAATACATAGCTTTTATTTGTCATAATCCACAACAAAATGAACAAGAAAATTATACAACTTATCCAATGTTAAATTTTACAGAAAGTTGAAAGAGACAAGGAAAGAAAGGTCCAGTAAAAGCAGGAAGAAGACTGAGATATGGAGTGAAGTTTTTCAAATTTTCCCTTCCTATAATGTGTATGTCCTGGTTTTGCCTGGAGCAATAATTAAGATCTCTTTGGAAATCTCAAAGGTTACCTGTTAGAGAGGCACCTTGTGTTGCAAAACTCTGCTCCATTATTTTGCCTTCATTCTTTGTCAAAGATCAGCTAATTACATTTATGTGGGTCTAGCTCTGGGCTCTGTTCCGTTTCATAGATCTTTTTGTTCATTTTATTCACAAATACTTCTTTACCTGTCATAGAGCAATAGTGTTTGTTACTTATTTTTAACTATGTTTTAGTACTCATTATCTAATTTCCCTCTATTTCCACTCTCAAGCTGTAGTAATCTCTATTATATTTCATTTGACATTTTTAACATCCAAAAATAAGAAAGAACACACAGTATTTGTCTTTCTGTGTCTGATTTATTTCACTTAACATAATGTCCTCTAGTTCTATCCATTTTGCTCCAAGTGTTAAGATTTTATTTTTATTTATGGCTGAGTAATATTCCATTATGCATATATACCACGTTTTATATATCCATTCACCCATTGGTGGAAAACTAAGGTTGATTCCCTATTGTAGCTATTGTGAATAATGCAGCAAAAAACATGGGCATACAGATTTCTCTTTGACATATGGATACCATTTTCTTTGGATATATACTAAGAAGAGATTATAGTGGGATCACATGATTGATCTATCTTTAGCTTTTGAAGGAACTCCATGGTGATCTCCATATGACTATAATAATCTACATTCCCACCAGGAGTGCACAAGAGTTCCCTTTTCTCTATATGTTATTTTTTGGATTTTGATACTAGCCATTCTAACCATAGTGAGCTGGTATCTCATGTGTATTTTGACTTACATTTCCCTAATAGCCCTGTTAGTTTGCAAAATTTTTTTCCTATTCTGTAAGTGTCTCTTCACTCTATTGTTGCTTTTGCTGTGCAGAAGTTTCTGAGTTGGATATAATTTTGTTTCCTATGCTATTATTCAAAAGATTCTTTCCTCTACTAAAACCTTCAAGTATTTTCACCATGTTTTATTTTATTACTTTCAAAGTTTCTAGGCTTACATTAGGTCTTTGATCCACTTGGAGTACATTTCTTTTAGGGTGAGGGATGGGGGTCAAGTTTCAATGTGCTTTATGTGACTATTCAGTTTTCCAAGAACCAGCTAATGAAGGAAGCCCAATATATGCTTCTGGCACTTTCACTGAAAAGCAGCTGCCTGTGAACACATGAGGATATTTCTTGATATTCTTTCATGTTTCACTGGTCTCTGTGTCTGTTTTTATGCTACAATCATGCTATTTTGATTACTATAGGATGGAGTATATTTTGAAGTCAGGTTGTATTATGTCTCTAACTTTATTGTTCTCATTAAAAATTGCCTTAGATATTCAGAATCTTTTGTGCTTCCATAGGAAGTTTTAGGATTTTCTTTCTAATCTATGAAGAATGTGCTCAGTTATTTTAATGAGATTGCATTGACTCTGTGTATTAGTATCATTTTGGCAATACCATTTCTGTCAATCCATGAACATGGGAAATCATTCTATTTTTTTAATCTTTTTGAACTCCTTCCATTGATATCTATAATTTTTGTTGTAGAAACTTGCATTTCCTTGATTAAATTTATTCCTGGTTATTTTATTTTTTAAACTATGATGGGTAGAATTCCTTTCATGATTTATTTCTCAGCATTCTCATTATTGGTGCATAAAATGCTATTGATTTTTGTATGTTGATTTTGTATCCTCTAACTTTACTTATTTCATTTGTAACTACTATTAGTCTTTGAGTGAAGTGTTTAAGTTTTTCTGCATATAGAATCATATCATTTACAAAGAGAGATGAGTTATGTTTTAACCTCTTTATATAGTCTCTCGCTTGTTTTGTTCTGTTCTTATTTTTTATGTGCTTTCCTTTCATATACCTCACAGCATTTGATTTATACTTTGACATATTTATAAAAACTGTGAGAAATCAAAATAACGTTATCTTTCTTTAGAGAGGTTCTAATTGTTTTGCTTATATGTAAATAGAAAAAACACAGTTCCATGATTCAAACAGAGTTTATTCCTAGTGAATTCTCTTGAATTTTTGACAGGTTCTAACTACCTGTTTTGTCCTATCTATGAAATATACTTCTTTAGTTTTTCCAGTTAAGGAGATTGTTTAAGAAAATCTTGAACTCTGATCATTATTTTCTCAGAATCATGAGGTGGCCAAAACCATTTTTATGCTTTGACCTTTAAGGATTGCCTGATGTTCACTTTAGACTTTGGCAAATATTCCAAAGGGAAAGATGCTCTGAGTCAAGTTCAGTGGCTGACAAGAATCTCTCAATCTGTTTGTTATTCTTCTAAGTCTCCCAATCTGCTGTCTTTGGAACCTTGAATTCTTTGTTCCTAGTTTCTTCTTGTGCTCTCCAACATATTTATATAAATTTTTAAATTCGACTTTTCTAACAGTTCAAAGTGGCATTCCTGGTCTGCTATGTTTTATATTCTCTCTCATTTCCACTAAAGTACTCAAATGATATTTTGATTAAATTTCAATAGTGTCAATTATTTGTTATGTTCTTGATTTTGTTTGGCTAAGATTATGTGTAGTCAAATATTTTTAGAGAAGCTAATTTTTATGGGCTTGATTTACTTTCTTAGACATAGAATACTTAGGACTATAGGTGGGTGGGTGGGTGACATTAGACAGGCTGTATTTATTTATTTTTAAACTCACTGATATTTTGTTCAGTAATGTTAAATTTGATTTTTATACCACTGTGTTTGTCAGTCTTTTATCACTATGACAAAAATCCCTAAGAAAAACAACATACAGGAGGAATGATTTATTTTGATTCATGGCTTCTGAGGTTTCAGTCCACAGTTAGGTGCCAATCTGTGGTTGGCTGTCTCCATTGCTATGGGTTGGAGGTAAGGAAGAACATCATGGAGAGGAATCTGCTCATGTTGTGACTTCCTGGAAGAGACAGAATGGGCCAGGGACAAGGTATATCTTTCTGGGGCCCGCCTCCTGTAGACCTCACCCTGCCTTCTTCCACTTCCCAATAGCATCATCATATTATGAGTCCATCAAGAAATCAATCTATTATTGGTCACATGTCCCAGGATTAATCCAACAAGTTTCCAAAAGCCCATCAACTAACAACCAAGCTTTTAACCTGTGAGATTTTTGGAGAGATAGACACTTCCCTCCAATCATAAGAACCATAGTTGAACTTTTTATTGCAGACAATGTATTTTTGAGATGCAAAGTTTTAATTTTTTAGCTTTCACTAATATTCTAATCTTCTTGTGTTGCTTTATATACTTGAGCATATTCATAATAGCTCTGTTAAGGTCTTAATGTGCCCATTCCATCACTTCTGGGTTTGTTTTTACTGATAATTTTGTTTCTTTTTTCAGAGCTGTCATCAGTAACGGGTCAAATAGACCTCTCAGAGAGCTTGCAGGCCCCAGGCTGTGGCCCCTTCTGTTTGGACCCTAGTAAAATATGCTCAGGGTCTGCCCTCCCCAATGCCAGGGACAGACAAAGAGGCACAGCATTTTTCTATGTCACATGGGGAGTGAGAGGGAATGAGTAGAAATCTGGTTACCCTCCCAAGACTCCCCAGGGAGCTGGGATGCCTGAGGGTATATGGTCCCAAAGCCAGGTGTAGCATAGGAATAAACTCCTGATCTCAGCTTTTGGTTTGGGTCGGAAGGGAGTCTCATAAGATCATGACAGGCAGAAATAGCTCTAAGAGCACCTGAGAGATTCTACTCCCAAGCCTACCAGCACACAGGGGCTCTGGCTGAACACAACCCAAGGCCCTTGAGTTGTCAAAACACCCAAATAACAATGATGTGTTGTGGATGCAGAAGCTAGGGAGAAAGTGGGAAGGAGGCAGGAAAAGGACCTAAAAAACCCAAACAGAAAAACTGGAAGCAGACAGGGATAGCCCCACAGCTGGCATATGGGTGGTCCCTGGGCAGGCTGGATGACAGTACTGCGAATAGTCTTAGGGCCCTTGCATAGTGACATACTCACCACTGTCAGCATCAAAGGACACACCAGGTTCAGAGAAGCTATGTTACCCTTTCCCAACCAGATCAAAGTCTTGCAGGGTATCCCATCTCCATGGGCATATAGCTTGGCGCTTGGCAGGGCAGCCAAGGGAGCAGAGGGAATTCAGGTTAGAACCCGGAGGTTAGCTGTTAATGCCATCCTAGCGCAGTCTGCGTGGAGGGTGGGCAGGCAGGCAGGGAGTCTTTAGAAGTAGAAGGATGCCTTTAGAAGGTTTGCAGGATGCCACGCGGCAGAGTGAACAGTTGCGGTGGTAGACAGGGTAGCGCATAAGGATTTCAGTGCAGGCCTGGCACAGGCACAGGTGCTGATAGGGCAGGAGCAGCACGGTCTTGCACTGGTCCTGGCAGATGACGGACTTCTTCTCCTCTTGCTCCTTTAGCAACTTCCATGGGTTTTGTCCAGCTGTCGGCTCCTCCTCATTGAGCCTCTCCCGGCCCGGCAGATTCAATTCTGATGGTCCTGATTTCCTCCTCTTCTGCCCCTGCTCTGGGCACTGTTTCTGGATGTGTGTCCTGTCTCTAGGTCCTGACTGAAAACACTCTCCTAGGAACACCCTGGGGGGTCCCAGGTGCCCCTCCTCAATTCGATCAGCTTGCCAACTGGAGGCTACTGCTCCAGATTCGGTGCCAGGCCTCCACACCCAGTGCTAAGCGAGATAGCCTCACAACATCCTCTCGGAGTCCATGGTAGGATGGCCGAGCATGAAGCTGACTGAAAGCTTGGGTGACCAGCCTCAAAATGAGGTCCGGATACAACACAGTCAGTCACTGCCAGCACACAAGCCAGCCAACACCAAACCAGTAAGATGTCAGACAGCTCAGGCCAGCAGTTCCAGAGCTAGTTGGCAAGGGGTCCAAAGAAGGATGGTCATAGCCACAGCACTGCTGGAAATGTGGGCTAGGAAAGCGGCCACCACATCTGTATCCTCCACATAGGTCCCATCCCTGCATCTCACACGGCCAGCACCAGGGAGAAGAGGTTCTGTGTGCCAATGAGGCAGATGTTGACTAGGCTGTTATCGGCTCATGGCAATGGCACAGATGTCACAGGCCTGGCGCAGCAAAGCATGGCTGTTGGAGACCACATTGAGGACACCTCAGTGCGGTGTCTCCCGACTCCGCAGCGCCCCATGAGAGGCCAGGTGCCCCAGGAGCTTTAGGCTCTCCAGGCCAGAACAGCAGTTACACAGCAGGGTACACGAGGCCTGCAAGTCTCCATAGGTGAACAGAACCAAGGCTTCAATCACGGCCAGCGGTGAAAGCAGGACGCCTCTGCCCAAGTGCAGAAGACTAGTCAGTACCGTGTATGGCAGGCTGTAGATGAAGTCCAGGAGCCAGGCCAGGGAAGCCAGGAGGGAGGACACCAGCAGGAAGTTGAAATCCAACACCAAGGTCAGCACGTCCAGCACCAGACCCACCCCATTCACTACCAGGTACACAGCCTCCATGATAGGGCTATGGAGTTCAGTCCGAAAGCAAGGCTGTCTCTTCAGAGAGGGGGCTGTCAAAGATGTCAGTATTTGAAGGATTAATCTGGAAGGGAAGTGTGCAATCTCGGTTCTCCAGGGAAAAAAGCTAAGGGCTGGAGGAAAGAGAAATTTTAGAGAGAAAGAGGGCCAGGTGCCACTCCAAGAGTCCAGGTTTTGATGGTGGGCTGCTCGAGAGCGAAGACGCAAAACATCTCCAAAGCTGAAAGCGATTCCGGGCTGGAGGAGCGACCTCAGCTTTGGAGGCCTGCTGCTGCGTACCACAGCCGGGCAATGGGTGGGCCCAGCCGGAGCCGGGGTGGGGAAGGCTGGGCGCGGGGTCGCGGTCCAGCTACGCAGGTGCCCCTGTCCTCGCCAGGCCCCTGACCTCCTGTTCGCAGTGCTTGGCGCCCAAAAGGTAATTAGGAGAGGGAGTTAGTCTCTGCAGACCCCAAGCGCGGCCTCTTTTCCGCTGGGCGCCGTCATCTTGTGCGCCTATTTTTTTCTTTTGTGACAGTGTCTCACGACATATCCCAGGCTGGACTAAAACTCGTTACGTAGCGTAAATTGGCCTCAAATTCATGATCCTTCTGCCTCAGCCTCTCAAATACTTGGATTATATTGTTGTGCACAAGGTCCAACATTTTTGCTTCTTTCCATGTTCACTGTTAATGGTTTGTTCTTCAGAGTATAAATCATACTCTTCATTTCAGCACAGTGGATGTTGGTTTCAGCAGGCAGTTCTGTTATCTGGTGTTCCTTGATCCTTTCATAATTTGCTGAATTCAATTTAGCCATTTCGCTAGTGCCAGTTTGCTTATTAGGGATTTTCCTTTTGGGTTCCTCTTTTCAAGTCTCTCTTATTTGGCAGGTAGAACTGAAATATCCCTTATAACTATTGGAGCTCTAAAAATTATTGATATTACAGATGTGTGGTTCTTTTTTGCTTCTCTTCACGGAATTTTACTCTAAACGTCAATGTTTTGGTGTTCAATACAGCAACTTGTGGACCATTACGTAGATATGCAAGTTCTCTGCATAATTCTGTTTTTTTCTTCTGTTCTTGTTTTAATCTATAGCAAATCTCTAAGCTTGGCTCTTTTGTTATCAACAGAATAAGTTTATACTCTATTTTTGGATTGCATATCCCTGAAATACGGGCCTGAGAAAATCATAGGGAGAAAGCTAAGATTTAAATTGGAAGAATTAAGAGTTTGTGGTCAATACAGGAAGGGGATCAGGAACTAGTGAAAAGGTCAGGTAGAGATGAATCAACTTGGGTTGTAATATACTTGTGCATGGAAGCAATGCTAGGAATCCCTCTGTATAGCTATCCTTATTTCAACTAGCAAAAATGCTTTGTCTTTCTTATTATTGCTTATGTCTACTTTTCAACAAAACTGGAGAAAAGGGCAGAACAGATTTTGCCTGGAAGCAAGGAGGGGTGGGGGGAGAGAAGGAGAGGGCAGGGGGCAAGGGGGAGAAATGGCCCAAACAATATATGCACATGTGAATAAATGAATTAAAAAAAAAGTGTTTGTGTCTTGGTCAGCATGTGGTCCTGAGATACATATTATAACATCTCTAAAGAAAAGTTATTTTGTACAATCTGTCGAGTTTAATGTGGTAGGAGAGCAAGTCCATTATTACCTATTTTAATATGGCTAAAATTGAACTTTTCTATGCACTTTTGAAAAAGAATGAGCTAGATTTCTACTATTTTTTTGAAAAATAGACAATTTTAAGTGAAAAATCAAATTGAATAATGTGTAAAATTGTCAAACTTTTACAAAGAAAATATGTAATATTTGACATTTATCAAAACATCAATATAATGATTGATTCCTTCAATGATAATGACAAGAGGGTGAAAGCCAAAAAAATTTTTTTTATCTTTTATTGATGCATTATTTCTTACCACTATTCAGTCAGTTCTGCATTTATAGCCAGAGCTCAGAATGAAAACTGACTTCCAAACACATGGAAGAGCAGAAGTAGGATTTATCCTTCATCAGTTAGGGTAGTCAATAGAAATATTCTCATACTGTGTGGCTGAGTCTCTCTGAGTTAAATGAGTTCATGTTCTAAAGAAAAAGGCATTTGTCAGGCCCTCCTCATTACCTTCTCTTAGAACAGATGCTGTGTGCCCTTGTTGACATCCAGTTTCAACTCCCTTCCTTCATTTGGTATTCTAATAAGCATTTAAGAAATTCTCTAATAGAAAAAAAGTTAATCTGCAGGTGTTACATTGTGTTTTCCCTGAAGATTTCTGTCTTCTATAGAAGGACATGTACATCTTGGAGCAGCAAGCTAATTAACATCAGAAAATCATCACAGATGTGCATCTATTTAAATGAAACAGGCAAACATTGTTCAATATGCGGACAGTAGGTATGTTTCTTCATAGAGATGTTCACTTATGGTTTGAAGCATGAAAATGTTCCACTATATGTGTAGGATTGACTTAAAAAATCATGAAAACTTAAAATATTTCAAGAAACCTACACTATCTGTAAAGTGATTTTGAATAAATGTTGATGGCATCAGAAAATATTACATAAAATACCAAGTCAAAGTCCATCCTAAAAGGTATATGTAAAGAAATATTTCAAAATACCTTAAATTAGAAATAGAAAAATATAGTGTGGATACATGTCAAATTGTCAGCGTTGATTATTGTAACAACAATGAAAATATGTTTTATTTCTTTTTAGTTTTAGTATTTTGCAAAACATCTACTATATTACTATTAATTATTTTTATTCAAAAGAAATACTTGTAAGTCAGCCTTGAAGTTTATTTGGCTTAAAAGTAAAAACACATTCCATACAAGATAGGGGAACCATCATATCATTCCTCAACATGAAATCCTTCTCTCTACAATGTCATGAGCAAAGTGGATTTCAAATTTTTTTCTTTCTTTTTTTTTTTTTTTACAATCTTGTTCTTTGGGATTTTAAATGTTCAATATTATTTTTTAAAGATATCATGTATATGAATAAATATATGATTATATATGATATCATATATGTATATAAATGAATGTATATATTCATTTTATTTTCTCTCCAGAGCAAAATAGCAGAAGAAATTGTAGTAGTGAAAATAACCAATTTTATTTAGAGTAAAAATGAATCTAAAATTTTCACTATAATTTAATTCTTAATAATACAGAATTTCTTTTCTGGAAGGTGAGTTATGGTATATTAACTTCAGAATGGGTCCTGTCTGAGGGTTTGCTACTAGTAGGAGGGGAAGGGTGTAGGAAGGTGAATATGTTCTCATTATTGTGTGCACATGTCTGCACCTGGAAAAATGGGAATAGTTGAAACTAATCCAGGTATAAGAGAAGGGGGGATAAAGAATGATGGAGGGGGCAAATTCAACTATGGTATATTGTAAGAACTTTTGTAAGTGTCACAGTGTATCCGCAATACAATTAAAAAATTACAGAATAAAAAAAGAAAAAGAAAATGCAGGGGAAACACTTTTAGAATTTTCATAGGCAACATTTTTTAGATGAGTTCTCAAAAACATAGAAAACAAAAGAAGAAATATGCAAATGGGATTATATCAAGCTGAGAAGTATCTTCACAGCAAAGGAAATTATCACAGTGAGAAGAGGAATTCCACAGAAGAAAATTTTTACGAATTATTCATCTGATAAATACTAATGTCAAAAATATTTGTTTTACTTTAATGCATCACAAACCCCACAAATACTTTCATGATAAAGGAAGATGTTCTGAATAGAAATATCTCTAAAGAATAAACTTAAATGGCCAAGAAAATAAATAAAATTTTCACTATAGTTTAATTTTCATAATTCAGATTTTCTCTTCTGGAAAGTCATTATGGCATGTTAACTTCAGAATTATAAAAAAAGTTGATTAATTATGAAAAATTATAATGAAGTCACAATAATGAAATTTGCTTAAAGTTTGTTCATCTGAAGCCAGAAATTTGTTTTTTCAATTATTGCAAACAATATATTTTTTAAATATTTTATACTGTACAATGTGAGTTATCATTTTTCTTTCCTCCACTGAGAACTATCTCCCCCTCACCTTCATCCAAAAACCAATTATACATAGATTCTTTTATTTGAATATTAAAATCCAAGTTCTTCTAGTAATTTTAGTATTGTCAATTTTTCTGAGGTAAAATTTCCACATTGTGGCCAATCAAAATACAAATGATCACATTAATCTGATTAAAGCATGATACACACATGTCTGAAATGCCAAAGCAAAACACCCTTGGACTATCAAGATGCATTTTTAAAAAGTGAAGGACAAGAGGAGAAAATAGGTCTTTCCTTGGGTTGGGGGACAGTGGGAGGGGAGAGAACATAAGGGAGGAAAAATATCATGATGTATTTAGTATTCATATAAGAAAAAAGAAGAATGAAACCTGTTGAAATTGTTCTAAGAAGAATGGAGGAGGGAGGAGGGAGAATGAAGGAGGGGTGAGTCTAATTAATATATTGTAAGTACATATGTAAACATCACAATGTATCCCTCTGTACAACCATTATAAGCTAATCATAAAAAGTTAAAAAAAAAACCCAAATTTTCCTCATAAGATTATGACGAATGCAAAGATAGCTACTGTTACCATACTTATGAAACACCTAGCCAAAAAATCTAGTCAGTGGTATAATGCAAGTAAAAGAAATGAAAAATGTAAAAGATAAAAAGATCAAAATAACAATTACATTTTCCTACTTCAAAAAAAAAACCAAATGATTTTATTTCACTCATATTACACTGGATGAACCATTAAAGGTCTACTCTTCATTTTTTTCTCACTCTGGACTTAGGCAGAGGGACAGTCATAGTTGAGGACATTTCATGGCAAAGGGACCAAAAACAGGATTGCTTGAAAACTTCTGATGCCTTTGCAAGTGTCTGTTCAGGTGTTATATAAATAACAGCTGCTCATATCACTTGACCAAATCCAACATCAGTAGAGTTGGGAATCTAAAATGCCCTGTAGAGAAGAAGGAAGAAACGACTTAGAAACAA